AGGCCTGGAACAGAACCTACCACGGTGGTTCTATTTTCAGCAAAAATAAAATAATAGATCTATCAAGTGAACAACAACATTAGAGAGATAAACACTTCTTTGAATATCTGGCCACTCAAGAATGGAAAGGCAACTTTGCCTAAGGAACAAAGGTCAGAAGGCAGGAAGGGTTAGGAAAGAAAGAAGACTTGGAAATGAGAAATGCAGTGATAAAGTGGGATGAGGGGTGTTATCACAGAACAGAAATGAACAAACTGCTGAATGGAAAATGAATTTGCTTTGTAAACTTTCACCCAATTCACAATAAATGGTAGAATAAAAGTTTGAGGAGATAAGTGAATCTACTTTTTTAAGGAGACTTGCACTTGAAGAAAATTAGCCTATGTTCAACTACCTGCAAGGCGCTTCCAAGTGGATATTCACAAACACCTTAAACTCAAGTCCAAGTGAAACCTTCTTTCATTCCTTTTAAAATCTCTAGTGGCAGAGACTGTTATCCTCAAATTTTATTTTCAACTTCTCTATTAAAAAATCATCAATTTGTACCTGGGCATATGATTTCTCAAAATAAAGACTACATTTTCTAATCTACTTTATAATAGGGCAAGACCATGACTATGGGCTGGTAGTGAAAGGATCTGAAAGTGAAAGAGCATGCTACTCTATTATTTTGCCTTTGTAAAACCTGGAACACAGGCTGGAGAATCTAACTTGGACCTCGAGGAGAAAGCAACATGCTAAGAATGGAAGAGCAATAAGATAGAAGGATTTGGGACAGCCTGGGAAATTATACATACCTTTGACTATGCCCTTTAAAAAAATGATAAAAATTATTTCTTTCTTGTTTAAACTGGAAAAAGAAAGAAACTGCTCAACTGGGGTATGTTCTGCTGTGTATATTCTCAACAACAGCAAAAATGAAGCAATTTAAACATAACTATATAGTGGAAACTCTATGAACGACAATAGTTATAGAAAGGCTTCAGGACTTTTGTTCATAGGGTCCCTGTGAGTCATGCTCGACTCAACGGCAATCAACAACAACATATAGTGGTATCATTATTCCTTAGGGATATTCAAGTCAAAGTCAGATTAAGATACTAAATGCAAACATATTCTTCTCAGAGTAAAGAAAAGATTCTGGAATTAGATGCTGAGATAGGACAGGCTAGGATAGGATGGGAAAGTTGTACAGTTTCGCAAATACATAAAAAAAACTAACATGTATTTTAAAATTATAAACTTCATGGCCTGTAAATTACATCTCAGTAAACTATAATTTAAAAATAGAGATATTGTTCAGCAATAGAAAAGACTACATTACTGATAAATACTACTATATAGATGAACCTCAAATAATTATGAAGATAGAGAGCAGATCAGAAGCTGCCCAGGGTTGACTGTACATGGTCATGAAGACATTTTTGCAGGAGATGAATATGATCTAAAACTTGACAGGGGTTGTACAACCACTGCTGAGAGCCTTTAAGAAAGTTTGTGCAGTTCAAGGAACCAGAATGTTTTTGAAGTAAGGAAGGAATAGCCTTAAATTTTCAATCTACTGGTCCATTGCATTTTTATATTGACAATTGTAAATACCCAACTAAAATAAATACAGTGCAAGGTGATGAACCATTAAAAAAACAAAAAACAAAACAAAACAAACTTGATGGCGGTGATGGTTCCACAATCTATGAGTTTGCTAAATATCATTGAATTGGACTTGGGTATCCAATTCCTTACTAGGGTGAATTTTATAGTCCCTAAATCATACCTTTAAAAAAAGCCATCAAAATAAAGGGAAACTTTCAAATTTCACATATTACTTGTGGAAATATAAAGTGACACCTTCAATCACTTTAGTAAATTGTTTAGTGGTATCTGTTAAGGCTGAAAATATGTGTACAGCATAAAGAAATAGGGTCCAGCCATTTCACTCTCAGATATGTACCCAGTAGAGATGTGTCCATTTGTTCATTACTATTTAAGTGCCAAAATTTTCATAAACCTTGACTCTTGGAAATAACCACACACAATGTGTACTAAAATGGATGAATTTGGTTATGGTTACACAGTGGGACCAGAGCAAGAAAGAACAAGTGACAGCTACACTCACCAGTACAGATTAATCTCAACAACAATGTAGAGCAAATGAAGCAAGATAAACACCGAGTAATTCTATTTATATAAAAACTTCAAACTTATTGTCAAAAGCTTTGGTGGCTTAGTGTGTTATGTATTGGGCCGGAACTGAGAGGTTGGTGGTTTGAATCCACCAGCAGATCCTCAAGAGAAAAATAGATAATCTTCTCCACAAGGATTTAAGACCTCAGAAACCAGTGTGTGTGGGGGGAGGTCATCATGAGTTAGAACTGAATAGATAGCCCTGGGTTAATTTATGTGGCTAATTTAGTGGTTGCCCTTGAGGAATAAACAGTAACCAGGACTTGGGGATTAAAAGGATGCTCCTGGAAGTTGGTGATGCTAGGTTCTTGACTTGGGTTTTGACTGCAGAAATGTGTTCACCTTCAGAAGAGTTCTCCAGTTTAACTTGTGAACATTTTTGGGGTAGTTGGTTGTCGAGGAATGAACCGTGTCCCCTCAAAAATACATGCAATGCTTTCATGTGAAAACTACTACCATGACCCCTTGTGATTTGAAAAACCAAATAGCTATAAAAGGAGTAAGGGTGGTATGCCCACCTCACTCCTTCAATGCATCACAGATCTCACATGTGACAGCAGGGGAATTTCTCTAGGCTCCATAGTTTTATATCACAAGAGAGAAAAGGTAGGATAGTGAGCTGAATAGGGGCTGCTCAGTACTATCAAGGAAGAATCAGCAGGAGTGCAGTGTACACTTAAGTCTTCGGTCTCTGTGTGAAGCTCACGGATATCAGAGAAGGCCTAGACATGGGCCTCTCCAGGGAATGCCCAACGTACAGATCAAAGAAGCAAGAACTCTCCTCCAGAGCCGACATGGAGAGAGGGCCTTCCCCTAGAATAAGCATTGAGTTGGGACCTCTAGATTCCTCAATTGTAAAAGAATAAATTTCTGTTTTCTAAAGCCATACACTTGTGGCATCTCTGCTACAGCCGCCTTAGAACAAACAGACAATGGCAATGTTTCTATCTACTGGGGGCAAGTCACAAAATAATAAGCTAAGAATCAAACAACTATCACGACACCTAGATTTCTCTGTTTCTGGAAAGATCACAAAACATTTTCATATTAACCCATCTTAAGATTCAGTAACGGACACTGATAATCATAATAAACACAGGAGAACAACAAACTGGCACCCCACACTTAAAGACAGGTGCGTGGTGCTGCTCAAATTCAGATAAAGCCCATTCAGTAGCAGATCTTTCCCATTTTGACAATTTAATGCAACGGAAACCATTAATCTCCTTGAATTTTCTTGGGTAATAAGGGCTATGTATTCTCTCTGCACAGCTGATATATCGTATGCGCAGCCCGTTTTTCAGGAAAAGAGCTTTGTAACTGTCATAACATCAGCAATTCTGAGCTACGAGATCTTGTGCTCATTTGTGATATAAATTCCCCATTCTCTGCATGTCCTCTGCATACACCTCTCCCCAAACAGGCAGTCCCTGAAAACCCTGCTTTCCCAGCACGTTCTCCTGGGAGAAAGCCTTTGGGTTCAGTTGTTTTCTTCATTTTTAGCCAAGTTAGGGAAAAATTAGCCCAAGTGAGGTTTCCAGTGCCAGCCCAACTGCTGATATTCTATAAGCTCGTGAGCATCTTAATCTTCCCATTGTTTCTAGCTGGCACATGATGTTCTTGAACAAGTATCCACCTCATATGACTTGAATTTCAAGCCTTAGTGAAGGGAACCTGGACAGAGCAGCGCCTCCTCTCGGTCCTCAAGTAGAAATGCATAGACAGAAAAGTACTTTCATGCTCTTACAAGCCTTCTCCTTTTCTTTTAGCTTCGTTACACAAAAAATGAGCCTGAAAGATGGAATATGGGATCCTTCATACCCTCTCCAAGTCACAGTATTTATGTAACCAACTCTAGTAGAATATAAACCATTTCCTCCTGTTACTACACAGAGCTCACAAACCACTACACTGGTGCCTGTTATGGGAGGTGGGGCACTACTGAAACAAAACCTCTCCACATAATTTACCACACTAAAAATACCACTCTCCACTTCCTGTGTTGACAAATGACACAAGTTCTTCCCATGTTACCCAAGGGCAGAGTTTTTGCAGAATGACGGGTGTTGGCTTGGAAAATATCCCTCTCACACCAAAAGGAAATTCCTTCCTATTCCTTCTTCCCTTCCAAGTATGAGAACTTTAATTAGCCTCATTCATTCATTTCCAGAACCTTATAGTTATGTTAAGTTCTGCATTACAATTATGACAAATTGGAGTTGGAGGAGGTGGTGGCGGTGAATGAAGAACTCATACCACCTCATTTCCTGAAAGATAAATTCATGTTAATTTCATATTTCAGGAAAGATTAAGATTCCTGACAATTATCAACTTATGTTTACCAGATATGAGAATTAAGACAAAATGCTTTTGAGTTGACAGAAAGTTGGAGTTCTTGTGTAGGTTGGATGGGAACAAAGATTCTGCATCTTTGAGGGGTTGGTAGCAACTTAAAGGTTGTTGTTGTATGCTGTCGAATGTTTGAATCCAGATACAAACTCCTCATCAACAAGCTATAGTCAAAAAGGCACTAAATCTTTAGATATTTAGGCAATTATCAACAACATAGTTATACGTAAAAATGCAAAGAGAATAGGTGATATGTTACTAGTCAAAATGCCAATTTTTAATGTATTTATTTAACGTAAGTTATTCCCACATCTGCTTGTGTTTATCGTCTCGCTAAATTTCTTTCAGCAAAGAGACATATGCTCTTAACAGCAACTTTCAAATTCTTGGCTGGCTCAGAGTTCCTTTTAATTTAAAGGAATGATAAGGAATTTTCCTGTGGTGAAGGGTACTTAATGCAAAAATACCTTTAGAGGCTTCTGTCCCCAGTGGGTTGTCCAGGAAGTCTGTCATGTCATGATTCCACGCGTCATGGACGGCAGACTTAGAAACCACCCTGTCATTCAGACCCTGCTGCGGCCGAAAGTTATTTCTGAGATACTCCACTGACTTGACGTGGTCTTGCTGCTCCGTGGTGAAGATGGAGTAAAAAGCTTCGAGCTGAACAGAGAACCAGGGAGAGGAGGGGGGAAAAAGCAATAATTAGAAAAGCCATCGGGTCCAAAGAGGGTGGGGTGATAAGGACACAAAATGTTAGTAAGTATTGATAATCTCAATAGGACACAAGGCTGCTGGCTGAAATCACTGTCCATGGGTCTCTCTGGCTGTTGCCCCTGTCCTGCCAACTAACCAGGAAATGACTTAATCTGAAAGCTGTACAGACTCTTTAATTCAGCTCTCAGACAACAGTTCTAGTCTTTGTGCAGTGCCCTCCCCCAACCCTGCTAACTCTAACAAGACCTTCAGCATTCATTATGGGAAGGAATAGAGTTATGGTGGAACTTGAGGGTCTCCAATCAGGCCAGAATCCTGGGTAGTTCCAACACTTAGGTGCTCAGCTGCTCACAGGCAAGTGGGGGATTCGTGGCCACCCAGAGGTGCGTAGGAAGAAAGGCTGGGCAATCTTATTCTGAGAGATCAGGCACAGAAACATGCTCAGAGCCCCACTCTGCTCTGACAGGTGTGGGACAGCTGTGGGTGGGAAATGACTGGGTGGCCTCTGGCTTGATGATTTTGTGTTTTGAGAGCCAGGCTGCTTGGGGCGGTGTTCTGGCTTCATCATCTGCCCACCTTGAGGCCCAGAGCAAGTTGTTCTCCATGTCTCATTTTTTTTCAATAAAATGGGGATAATCACAGCTGCATTGCTGTTTACTATCAAGTTAGAACTGACCCCCAGCTGGCCCTCTTGTGGGTTTTCAGAGGCAGTTAATTGCACGGGAGGAGATTGCCCATGTTTCTCCCACAGGGCAGCTGGTGGCCTTGAAACACATGCCCTCAGGATTGCAGTGCAGCTTCTTGCCACTAGACCACCTTCTTTTCTTTGTCACTGTTAAGAACTTGCCAAGAGTTTAACACAGTATCTGGCACACAGAACTCTTCTGAGCACTAGAGAACAAGGTCAGCAAAGTCACAAAGTCACAGAGCCATTAAAACCATGGCTTGCAAACGAAATTGACCAGGTTTAACACTTACGGGACATGTAATCATAGATAAACCCTCCACATTTGTAAAACCTACGCAGTAGCAGTGTGTACTTTATGAGGGTATTAAAAGGTTTTAAATCTACATCAATTAGCACATAGAAAGTCTTCACTGAAAATCAGCTATTATCGTTATTATTACTCTTAAAAAAAGGGGGTTTTTTTCAAGCCTGCTAACCAATTCAGTGTAGGAAACAAAGAAAATAAAAACAAAACTCTCAGGGCTCCAGGGTCATTATTTGTCCCTCAAAAGCAGTTATTTGTGGTCCTCCACATTTTGATCACTTAAAAAACAAAGTTACTGCATTAAAGAAGAAAGGAGCCTTAATGATGTGTAGTGCATTACTCTTAGGGCTGTTAATGGAAAGGTCAGCAGTTTCAATCCTATCAGCTACTCTGTGGGTCAAAGCTGAAACAACCTCATCCAATAAGATTAACAGCCTTTTAAACCCCATGAAGGGTAGCCTTCCTTCCAAACCTAAAGAAACCTGTGGGAGGGCCAAAATCAACTCGATGGGAGTAGGTTTCCTGCATAAAGAGGACAGAGCAATAACAGGAAGACATAGACTTGTTCCCAAAAGACCACAAAGCTATTCTTGTCACCAAAGAAAGAAATGATTAGATAAAAAAAAGTCTTATCGCCAAAGTGCTAACTCTTTGAAGTGGGAGGTAGGAAGCAGAATGAAGATGAGAAAAAGTTCCACAAACTGTGTCTGGCTCCTTAAATGCCACACCTGAACACATCCTGCAGCACTGAAGGCTGGGATGGTGCCAGAAAGAGCTTTCCCCAGCAGGCACTGAGTAGCTGCCTAAGGTCGGAGGCAGAAGGTGGTTCATACATACTTGGCAAATAATAACAACAGAAAAGAATTGTTTGCTGTCAATTCTGTATGGCCATGCTGGCGCCTGGAGCATATCCCATTGTTCCTCAAACAGCTCAGAGTATGAAGGTAGAATATGACCTTCCCTTCTCTTTTCCTGAAAAAAACCATGAATGGGTCTGACATCAGGGTCGGGGTATGACAGAAAAACCTGGATAAATTATGTATATTGTATTGAAACAGATGAGGGAAAGAACAGATTAGAAGTGATATATGATTGAGTATTATGGTTAGCACAGGAATCCAGAATTAAGGTTGCATAGAGAAGTGTACTCGGGGTGGGGGGT